TTTTTTTATTTTAGAATTTCTGCATGCCATCTTACGAGATTTAAACTGATGATCTATAATCCAGAAAAATCGATAATCCGGAATCGCCGAAGTCCCGACGAGTCCGGATTAACGACTTTTGACTGTAATACTAAAGTTGTTACTGGCTTTGTCTATTTTCGTAATGTTGAACGGATCCTGTAAAATTTTCACTTTCTTGTCTAAATCTTCCTTATTATATGTGCTATTAAGTACTACTTGTGCTTTAATCTGTCATTTGAAGTCAGTGAGCATTTCCTTTTTCCATTCCAGGTAAATCGTAGTAGGTAAGTTAATTCTGTAGCTGGAGAACACCATGAAAGCTTCTAGATCTTTTTCGAATTGTTGTATGCAGAAATTTTTCCTATCTTTGAAAGTGGGTCCAAATTGGGTGCCGAGATTCATCAATTGCCATAAATTTCTATCTTCTGTAATTTCTAACTTTCCTGTTATAATATGTTGGTGATGTTGATATACATGAGGACTGTATTCTGGGAGTTTGTGATTTCAAGTATCTGGAGCTTTATCAATGGCATGGTGGTTAATTATTACGCTACCTAGTGTTCTTTCATATCGATAGCTTGGTATTGCCAGTACTTTGTCTGGAAATAGATGTTGGTGTAGTTTAAAGAGTGTGTTAATTTTTAATTGGTCATAAACTGGATGCTTGAAGCAGATAAAGCAGAAATGTTTATTTTCAAAAGGTTTGCTGCAGCGTAGTTTGTTTTTACAAAAATCTGTTATAGTGTCTTTTAGTAATTGGAGTCCTTAATATTTAAATTGAAAGTGGTAAAGCAATTGCTTAAGTATTTTGTGTTTGAAGGTGTGTAGTAAATTGAAAATCCATTTTGTGAAAAACTGCTGTTGAAAAATTATAATAGGGGACCTCCCAATTTTTTAGTTTGTTTAAATGACTACTAGTTTTACTTTTTATTTATACAGTACAAAGTCCGAAATCTGGACTCGTCGGGACTTCGGCAATTTTGAATTTTTCCGGATAGTAGATCATCAATTTAAATCTGGTAAGATGGCTTGCAGAAATTATACAATTAAAAATATGAAATTGTAATTTATGAAATAAAGAACAATTATGATCTAAAGGGTATCAAAATTTACAAAAGAAAGCTTAATATATTTATTTGTTTACTTTATTAAACATTTCTTTTAATGTAAGTTGCTTAAGATGCCTCCACAAAAAATTGAAAAAGTTCCTTTTTCTTTTTTTCTTGTGTCATATGCAGTGGACTTTCCAATGCCATACTCATCGCATAATTTTGAGACGGATATGCCATTGTCCATTTTTTGCAGCAATTCCACGTTTTGTTTAATGGACATCAAAACATGGTTTTGCTTTGTAGATCCTTTGGCAGCTCCAGAATTGGAAACTCTTTTTGAGATAATCGAAAGTTCAAACTGAGTTTTTATGAAATTGCTGTAATAATAACAGTCTGCAAAAAATAATAAGCTGCATCAAATTAGAAGATCAGGGAGCAGCACAGTCTGCTACATTAATTGAAATGCCTTAGAATCAGTAAATATAATTTTAGTCTAACTTAATAGCGTCCGTTATACATTATTGGTTGTGTATCATAAGATTGGTGACAAAAGCCAAGTTGTTTCGCTAAATTTTCTCTTGCTCCTATTGCGAACTGAATTAATCCTGAATTGTATTAGTTATTTACTATACCTATGCTTATTTCTTGCATAGTGACAAAAGCCAAGTTGTTTCGCTAAATTTTCTCTTGCTCCTATTGCATACTGAATTAAGCCTGAAATGTATTAGTTATTTACTATACCTATGCATATTTCTTGCATATGCTTCAAACTAATTCGAGTCTTGAATAAATAAACTCCCACATTTACTTAAGGCTTTATCTAGGGCCGGCGCTCGGTACCTCCTGGTGCAGTCTCTACGGATTCTAAATTCTGCTACAAAGTGCTTTGCTAAGTTCTAAATTTTCGCTGTGCCTAAACTTTGGATCCCAGTGCTTTCCCTAAATCATAAATACTTCTCATCCCTTAATTTTGCTACTCTGTGCTTCCCCAAATTCCAAAAATTTCGTCTTCCCTAAATTCTGTCATCCGATGCCGACATATTCTGCCGCCACTTCTGGGTTTATGGTGAATAACATATTAGTTATTCTCAATTAAACACTAAATGTAATCTTTTGGCTTAACATAAGTTTCATTAACAAAATCTATTTTTAGCATATGAAAAGAAATTTTTGTTGAATTTTTCTTTGTCAACATATCTTAGAGCATTTAAAAATCTATAATCATTGCCAAGCGTAATGTTAGCATAAAAGATTGCCATGCTCTTGTTATTCAATTACTAATATAAAAATAGTTTAGACACCACAGCATGAGTTATTACTGAAGCTGTCATGTATTGATAAGCATACGTTGATGAAAGCAAAATATAATAAATAATGACTCGCCAGCTCAGTGTCAGGGATATAAAATAAGTGTATGTTTTGGTTTGAGATGTATGCCAAGTAGATACTCAGTTACGGAGCCAAATTATTAATCTCGCAAATTTATGCTTACATGATTGTTTTTCTATAACAAGGTATTTTACTTAGTGCCTAAGTGAAATTAAGAATCGGAATTTTTAAGTGCAAATCTCCACATGTTTTATTATGGAAGAAAAAATCAAATGCACATGCATAAAGCATTAATAAAAAAAAAAAAAATATTTGTAGCTTTGAGGTCCGGATTTTAGATCATTCCGGATAAAGGACGTCCGGATTTCGGACTTTGTACTGTACTTGCTTTTGAATTTCGAATTAGCATAGATTGGTTTTAGACCTCCTTTTTTTTAAATTTCAATCTACATATTGTAAAGTTCTATAGCTTCTTAATTGCCATTTTGGCACTATGATTTATTCTTTTTCCAAGTGTTGAATGCGAAAGAGATTTTTCAAAATTAAAAATTTTAAAAAGTAGATTAAGTACTACTATGAACAAGCTAATTCTGAATCATTGCTATTAACATAAGGAAGGATATTTTGGCTAAAGCAAAAATTGAAGATGTATTGGAGAAGAAAATTTTCCGAGGTGCCTGGAATTAAAAAATATTTGAATGGCTAATTATGAATCAACCACTGTTTTATTTATATAATTATTTAGTCACTGTTATTTATTGTTTGTAGTTTATTTGCATATATATATATATATGAATAAAGTGTTACTTTTCTACAAAGGTATATTTTTATTTTATAAAATTATTTTTTGTGATAATGATGATAACAATGATAACTTATATGTATAAAATGACATTTCATATGGGGCCTTAGGGCCGGCATATTTTTTCCTGCCAGGCCCAATTTCTTTGGCCAATCCACGACTGATTAAGGCAACAAACATATAAGATCATTTAAGTTAGGCAGACTGGAAAAATGTTTGTTGGAAACTGAAAGACACATACAAACTAGCTTCAGATGTAGAACAAATATCAGTAATGGAAAGTTTTGCTATTAAACAGTGGAAATTGATCATAAAATAATAAGGTGGTCTGAAAATGACATGCATGCTCTCCTTTTGAATGCATATGGGCTTTATGAATATCTTGTGTAATTACATTGAATTTGGGTGAAATTGGTAAAATCATTGTCATGCACTTTGGTGATAGCTTCTCAGGCAATGAAATCCAAATTTCAGTTTACATATTGCAGTCAATCTACATATTGTAGTAATATGTAAATTGACTATATTATTAAACTCGTATAGGAGAGACCATCTTTAGTTAAATGTGTTTAGAATTTTGCTGGCTAACAAGAAGTTAAAAATAGTCTTAGTTTTAGTTTGATAGTAATGAATTTGTATGTTTACTAGGGTATTGCTTTTCATATCACTAGCCCTTCAAAAGAATTTTCTTATTAACAGAATTTTAAGCAAATTTATTGTACAGATATTACAATCCTGCTACTTGATGTTTTATCAAGATTTCAAAGCAAGTTCAGTAGAGTAACAGTTTTTCAGCCTCAGATAATCACTATATTTTCCAGGAAGGCTTTAAATAGTAAAGTGCTATGTAAAGAATTGAAATAAATTAATCATTAGAAGTTATTTTCTTAACTTTCCTATGCAGCAGTAATATACAGATCTCAAGTACTTCACAAGTATAGCATTTTATAGGATAACTGTATTCAATATGTAACTTTTAAAAAAGTTTTTTAATAGATGTCTGTGTTGAAGCTGATGTAAATATGCAAAAATTATCTCTTAAATTTTGCATAGGATATTTAAGCCATTAATTTTTTTTTTTTTTTTTTTTTTTTTTTTTTTTTATGCAGAGTGCCCTTTAACATATCAAACTCATATAGGAGAGACCATCTTTGGTTAAATGTGTTTAGAATTTTGCTGGCTAACAAGAAGTTAAAAATATTCTTAGTTTTAGTTTGATAGTAATGAATTTGTATGTTTACTAGGGTATTGTAATTGCACTTTTTTCCCAGCATCGGTTTACAGCTTATCTGATACCTCATCAACTTTATAAAAAATTATTACACATATTTTCACACTTGGAAGATAATTTTTATATTAGAGTTCACTTATCTTTTTTTTTTTTTTTTTTTTGTAGAGCTATACACGGAAACTATTCAATGTTATATAGCAAAGTGATTTAATATTTATTTTCTATTTATTACATTAAAACAAATAATATTAATAGAGCAGAGAATGGCTTTTAAATAATGGACTTCCTTTTTTCATTTTACAAGACTAAAGCATATTTATTAATCTTCGGAAAGGGTTATTAATTTTGAAGTTCTTGTAAATACATGTTGAGATGTGCTAAGGTTCTTGTTGTAGAATATACAGAATATGCATTTTTGTATTAAAATGTCTAAAGGTATCAACTTTTTTTAATAAGCTGTGATGGAATTCTGATATGTTTAGTTATGTACTGTTATCAAACATTTTATTTTTCTGTTGATTAATTTTATTATTAATTTATTCTAATTCTTTTTCTCTCCCTCCAGGATTTCTTTGCTGATGCATTACAAAGTATACCTGATGATTTAATGACAGCAAATACTTCAACTCCTATAAAAAATAGTAATAAATTTGGAAATTGTTCTGTAAATATATCCTTTAATGACTGTAATGTACTTCAGCAAGATAGTTTTAAAAGTTTGTCAAGTAGCACTGAGATGAACTCTGCAAATGCATACAAAATTCAGGAAAATTTTGGAATCTCAGAATTTGTTGCAAAAAAGAATAACTTAAGCAGTAATTGCACTGAGCTTGAGAATGAATCAAATGAGAAAACTCTTTTAATTAACAAGAGATTCATTCCTGGCTTTACTCCCAAAGCAAAAAAACGTAAATTTCCAGGGCCTGCTGGTCTCTTATCAGAAGAGGTAAGCTATCACATAAAATTTGTGAAATTTTTTTTTTATTTTGCATCATGAAACTTAAAGTGACATACCCTAATGTTTGTGAAAATTACAGCATCATGAAGGAATTAAGTAAATTGAACCAAACTTACAGGTTCAAATGTAAAGTGAGATAAGACTTGCAAATGATTGGAATGAGAACCGGCCGCTTTTTCCATGTATATAAAGGGCTGGGAAGTTTTGTTAAAATCTGTTTATTGTCCTCTGTATGTGTTGAACATTTAATTAGTGGTCTTTATACCTTGTCAACAGCAAAGAGTGGCATACCAACAACTAACTGAGTTTGAACAAAGTCGCATCGTCAGTATGTGAGATGGTAGATTTCCTTAATGAGCAGTTGCATCCCGCATGCAGTGTAATGCCACAACAGTGACGCATATTTAGAAGAAATGGATAGAAGATAACCAAACAAAGCAAAATGCTTACACTGGAGCACGCAATAACAAAACAACATGGGGGCTACAGGTGTTGTATTATCTACCTCCATGATCCTGTTGCAGCATGAACTATGTGCAATGGTTCCTCTATGCAGAATGCCCCTGCCATTGAATCACAAACGCCTGTGACTTGGTGGGTGGGCACAGCAACACAGTGCGTGGCATGCCCTATGGCAACAAGTAGTTTTCTCCAATAAATCTTACTACAAGCTAGAGTGCAATGATTGAAGAGTCATGTCAGATGTTGCAGAAAGGAACAACTGCTCTCACAGTGTATTATCCAGCGCCATACCACACAAGCACCTGGCATCATGATGTGGGGAGCTATTGGGTATAACCTTTCATCCCATCTAGTGCACACTGCAGGCAACCTCAACAGTGATTGCTAAAAGGGAAGTTGTGGAGCCAGAGAACTTCCCCATTCTTCAACGAAATCCGGACCCTGTATTTCAACAGGATAATACCCGTGCAAACATTTCTTATACTGCACAAACCTTTTTTAGGGCACAACAGGTTTTGCGGTAAAAATATATTTACATGTTATATAATATATTTGCAGTAAAAATATATTTACCCTTGGCGAAAATTTGTGATTTTTGGCGATACATGGGTACCGAGTTTGTGCAATTCTTTGAATTGTTATTTTGACTTTGTGTAGTGCTGTTTTTTGCTCCAAAAAGTGCCGCTACACAAAGCTAAAATAAAAAGTCAAAGAATTGCACAAACTCAATATCCATGTACACATAGACCTATTTTCACTTAAAAAAGCATCAGAGAATTGCACAAACTTGACATTGCGCCCGGCCTTGACTGTACATTCATGACTTGACTGTACATATACATGTACACTTCGATCTATTTTCACTTAAAAAGTCAAAGGATAATGTACTACTGATTCTACAGTAGAGCCAAACAAAAAGTACATAATCTCAATAAACTACATTTTAAAACAAAGAATAACATAAAAAAGGAAATTCATCTTATGCATCTAAGCACTACACAAGGCAAATATCCACTTACCTTATTTAGAAATTTCTGAGTCCTTCAGTCTGTGGCACACAAAATTCCTTAACAGCATCCAAAAACTTACTAAAATTATCTGAACTGGAATCCGTATATCAGCGTTGCCGCAAAAGTCACAAAAATAAGAGTAAAAAATATCCTCCGTAGTGTCGGTATCCTCTGGCGTTTAACCATATGCATTTCCTTCCTATAAACAGGACTCTTATAATGACTAATAAGTGAACCTTTATTTACTCATCAGTCAATTAATGCGCATTTCCTCTTTTGTTCCAAATCGTACAGAAATTCAAATTAATCTTACAACATTTAGCCATTCTACCATCTAAACCACAAAACAAGCAATGTACTTCCTAACCAACATACACCACAAGCCCTTACAAATCTTTTCCTCATCATTCAAAATTTATGGGCAGTCAAGCAATCAACGCACGTTTACCAGATTTAAATTGATGATCTATTATCCGAAAAAATCCCAAATCTGGAATCGCCGAAGTCCCGACCAGTCCGGATTTCGGACTTTGTACTATACATATTTGGCTATGTATCATGAAATCGGTGACTAAAGACAAGTTCTTCCGCTAAATTTTATCTTGCTTCTATCATGCACTGAGACAATTAAGCCTGATTTGTATTAGTTTAGTTATTTATTATACTCATGCCTATTCCTTTCACATGCTTAAGACTCATTTGAGTCCTGAATAAATATATTCTCATATATACTTAAGGCTTATTGAGGGCCAGTGATAGAATTCTTACCACCTGATGCAGTCTCTGCAGGTCCTAGATTCATGCTACCAAGTGCCTTTGTCTTCCCTAAATTCTGCTGCACAGTGCGGCCATACTGGCTCTGGTACTGGTTCTCAGTTTATGTGAATAACAAATCAATTATTCTGAATTAATCAGCACTAAATGTAATCTTTTGGCCTATGAGTATCATAACAAAATTAATTTTAAGCATATGGAAACAAATGTTTGATAAATTTTTCCTGTCAACATTCTTTAGCGCATTATCTGTAATTATCGTCAAGTGTAATGTCAACATAAAAGGTTACAACACTCTTTGTTATTCAATTGCTAATATAAAAAAAATTGTTTAGGCTTCGCTATATGAGTCATTACTCAAGTTGTCATGTGTTGATAAATGTGATGAAAGCGAAATATAATATATAATGATTCTCTAGGTTTTCGTCAGGGATATAAAATATTAGTAGGTGTCAAATCAGCGATGTATCTATGTAGAATATTTCGGTTTGAGATGTATACCAAGCAGATACGCAGCTATGGAGGCAAATTATTGATCAAACAAATTTATGCTAAAATGATCGATTCTTCAATAACGAAGTATTTTATTTAGTGCCTAAGTAAAATTAAGAATCAGGACTATCCATGTGTACGAGGGGAAGAGTCAAATGTACATACACAAAATAAATTTAAAAAAATTAATAAATAAATAAAAATTTGGTGTTTGCTTTGAGGTGTGGATTCTAGATTATTCCAGATGTTGGACGTCCAAATCTCGGACTTTGTACTGTATTAACAATTTAAAAGTTGATTAAGTGTGGCTAAGCCTTTTTTTTTTTTTTTTTTTTTTTTTAACCATAGCAGCCATATTTGTTTACATTTGAAACTTGGCAGAATAGTGGATTTGCTGCCAATCTAGAGAAACCAAGCTTTGCATCAACAAAGTAAAGTCTTCTTTTATTATTGCGAATTAAATCTTGCTTAATCCATTCTGGAATTAACATTTAAATTATCCCATATATTCACTCAGAGTAGCGTCTACAGCTAATTAAGTCAGTTTCTGTGCCTTCAGTGTCTTTTTGCCGACTGAGACCAAAAGTAAACTTTCAGTTTTGTGCACCAAAAATCTGCCTTCTTGCTCGCTGGCTGAATTGCTTGTTTTGCATAGAAATTCTAATTTTAATTGTAAAAAATGTTCTTCAAATTGTTTTAACTGTATTTATAATTTATATTTTCCAATTTCTAATAAAGATATTTTGAGGTTTCAGGTATTTTTGCCCTGTCGCGAAGTGAGAACTGAATTAATTGAAGGAGAAATATATCTCTAATGAAATTTGAAGAAATAAGTTTAAACGAAATGCAGGAAAAATTGCGTATAATTTAATATTCCGTACAAGGAAGTCATGGTGTAGACATTTTTCTGGAATATTTTTCTTGGCAATCCAGAGGACGCTGGTTTCTGATTTGGATTACATTCAGTACTGTCTGAGTTGGAAATTTTTTTTAAACAGTTTATAGAATTTGTTTTTGTTGTTTCTTTTGATCTGATTTTGAAATTTTTGTGATTAAATCACATCTATATTATCAATGACACGCTATTACTTATACTGTTTATATTAAAATATTTGATATTTTTTTATTATCTGCATTCATTCTCTCAAAAGTTGGCAGCTAACATTTTGCCAACCTGATACACAAAAGGCAGTCGCCATTTTTTAAATGGAAGTCACTAAAAAATCCATAAAAGAACAATCAATGTATAAAATTAAAAGGAGCAAGAAACTCTACAATAATATGCTTACCTCAAGAAAAAAAAAAAAATTCTACGGTAATTTTTTGGCAGTATTCTTTCCAGTTATCTGTTTCGGCTTAAAAAATCAGAGAATTGCACAAATTCAAAATCACCCATAAATTTGGTATTGTGTATTTCGCTGTTCTCTCGAAGTATATAGCAATATGTTTTCACTTGGAAAACTGTACTTCCTGATTGTCTAAAAACCAGATTTCTGTAGAAATGCAATGTTTTTCATCAGCTAGCAAATTCCACAGTTCTACATTCAAGGGTAAAAAATGTACTAAATTAGAAGAAAAATGCCAGTCAGAAAAATGACTATTGAATTTGGAAGGTGAAAATCTACACATGCACTTAAATGAAATTTTCTGCATGCAAGTGCATACTTGGGTAGCCACATAAATACGTTTTAGTGACATCATGGGTTGCCATATAACTATTTTGCCATCACATTGCATCTTTTGAAAACTTTTCGAGTAGAGGATGCAGTTAATCAGAAAGAACCAAATATTTATTATATATTAAAATACTTATAATATATATATTATTATTAAATGTTTATTCTTATATAATAATAATTGTCAAAATATTTTTCTAAAGCTTATAAAATATATTTCAGATCAAGGAATCTGGGAAACAGGTGTTTGGGACATCAGATACTAATCGTAATAATCAAATGCTTTCAAATTCTGAAAAAGAATTAGAGGTAATATTTTATTTTAACTAATGGCAATTTATATATTTGTGAAATATCCTTATTGCTTGTAGAAAAACTGACAATCTATTTTATTTTGTTTTATTAGAAATTACGCACATAGTTGTAAACTGGTCTTTTTTTAATGTATTATTTAAAATTATTGACTTAACTTTTATCTGTAATTAATTATTGTGACATATCTTGAATGAATAAAAAAAGGTTCAAATTCTTCCTTTCTTTCTTCTTTTTTAAAGAATATTATCATCTCAATTCTCTCCAGAAGAATTACTGCTTCCTTCATGGAAAACACTGCAAACAGAAGTTTCTTCGTGCCCTAATTTATTAGCCACTGCAAAACATTACAGCATTCGAAGAGGTCTTTGTGAAGTATGTAGGCAAATAATTATTAGTTTTAGCTTTTAGTAATTGTATTAGTTTACATTTTATATAAATTGTTGTTTCTTATAATTGGCTAATTATTATTATAAAGTAATTTTCATTTAGATTATATACAAAAAATTATTCATAGTCATGGAGAATTAATAAATTTGTATGTATACACATTTTCAAATTTCAGATTAAGAATTCTCAAACTAATTTTCAGTATTTTATTGATCTGTATAAATAGTAGTATTTTTTCAAACAGGTTTAAAACATCGGCTATCTAATGAATTATTTAGCTTTTTTATAGTTATATAATGAGTAACTGCAACTGCGATTACTGCTCTGAGTATTTTTTTTTTTTAAATTAAGAAAACAAATACAAAACTCCTCATGTTCCACGAGGCTTACAGATGTATGTAAATAACTCATAATACAAGGAGATACAAGTCAACAATAAAAACATAGTATTTAGATATGGAGGGAGCAAAGAAACTATATAAAACAAATACTACTATAATAAAAATGCTGAATTATACCATGAGTAATTAAATTTTGTTAATATTATTATAAATGAAAATAAACCATCTTATAATAAAAATAAGTAATTTGACAAAGACAAAATGACACATCAACAATACAATACATCAGTACATAATGTAACCACACATACACTATATGCAAAATAATACAGTGACACACAACATATTAAAATCCAATCATATAAATAATACAGTACAAAGTCTTTAATCCGGAATGATCTATAATCCGGACCTCAAAGCTACAATTTTCCGCATGTGCGTATGCGTTTACGCATATGCATAATACGTTTACGCATGCGCGTTTAATGTATAACGGACGGTATAAGCTAAGCTAAAAATAATCTATTTCAGTTAATTTTGCAGATTGTGTTGTTCCTTAATCTTCTAATTGGATACGGATTATTATTTTGCACTATTAGAGCAATTTTATAAAAGTAAGCTGAACTTGGATTACGCAAAAAGAGTTTGCGATTCGGGAGTTACCAAGGATCTACAAAGCGAAAGCATGCGTCATTCACACAAAATAAATTGCCAAAGAATGGATAAAGCATATCCTTTTTCTCTAACCATCGAAATCTGTTTATCTTTCACGCTGCTAGCGGGGGGGGACGTCGCGATGCACATGAACAGAAGTGATCTTTCAGCACTAGCCTCATCTTCGGCAGATTTTTATTTTATTCAGAAGGCCTTACTAAAGAGTATTCATCTCGATGTACCATCTTTGCTAGGATTAAATCAATTCCTTCATCATTATAAATATCATGAATACAATCAAAGTTTCTGGTTGCAATTTTCTAATTCGCCATGCTAATGATGCTTTACACTCCGCTTGAGAGCTGTAATAAAGTAAACAATAATATTAAGCTTTTGTTGTATTTTGATCCCTTTAGATCAGAATTGCTCTTATTTCATAAATTCAGTTTCAATTTATTCTAATTCTGCATGCCATCTTACCAGATTTAAATTGATGATCTATAATCCGGAATCGCCGAAGTCCCGACGAGTCCGGATTAAGGACTTTGTACTGTACTACTAAAAGTTCAAACAACAAATAAGACTGCAAAGGCTTCAAAACTCCTAACAAGATAATTGAAAACAGGAGGCCAGTAAATTGAGAGCTACCCTAAACTCACTGAAATTAAAATGGTTAAATTCAAATGTACTTCTTGCACTTGCCTACAGCCTACAATGCAATAAAATATATTCAACATCTTCCACAGCATCACTGCAAGCACAAAGCCCACTGGTCATAATATTGAAGCAAAGTAAGTAAATTCTAAACTTCCCATGACAGGTCAAAATGAGTAAGTTTATTAGTCGGTTAAAAATGGTTACACTTAAGTCATTGAAAATACTTGGGAAAAATCTCTTTGTCCACTGGTCCTTCGATGATGCAAGAGATTCAATATTCTAATCAGTCGCAGTTTTCTCCCGAGCCATACGCTTCCGATAAGACTTGGGAACAGACAGATAACATTAAATCAGTATCTCAGTAAGTTGCTTGCTTATAAATAATAAATATGCTGTTTCCATTGAAATTTATTATCCTCAGTCATTCATAAATATTTAATCCACTGCTATTCTTCAATAGGCTCACTTCCTAGACTTAAATTAGTCTTATAAGGCAACACTGATTTTTTGTGTATCATGATGCCTTCGAACTTTTGAAGGGTTAAATTCAAGCTTGTAGTGCTTTGACCAATAAAAAATATTGTTTAAAATACTCTGAGAATGAGCACTGGTATCATTGATGTTTTTAAACATTGTACAATAACAAATGAATCATTTGCAAAAGCAATTTGGTGGCTGTTCTGCAATTATGGTCTGTTTTATACAGATCAGCATCAATATTAAAAGAAGGCTGAAAATACTAAGACAAAAGAGTGAATTCACATTCTTTAAAAGAAATGTTAACAATGACAGCACTATAATCACAATTCTGAGGTCTGAGTATTTACATATTTATTATATTTAAAATTTTTATCTCCCAGGTTCAGTTATGAAATATTTAAAAAAAATTAAACCAAAATATACCCACCACTAGTTGGAAAGAATATTTGAAACTAATTTAAGTTACTAAAATAAAAATTTAAATACTAAACCATTTTTAAAGTATTAGACAAAATTTAAGTTTGAAATTATTTTTTTTTAATATTTGATCAGTGTATACCCACTTTTAATAAAAAAACTTTTAGGTATGATCACAGCTGAAACTTAATTCTTTAAATTCTAAAATTTAAAGACTTAACTCAAAAATATCAAATTTCCTAATAAAAGTAATATTTTTAATAACTATCCAAAATTTTAATACAGCTTCATTTTTTCCTTCCACCAGTCTTGCAAGCTGAAATTGCCTAAATACATAGTTGTCCCTATTCTTTGTGTCTTAATAAGGCATATTAATTACAAAGATACATCTGCAACACTGATGCTATTGGATGATACAGGTAAATAAATTCTAGTTTTAAGAAAATTTAACTTTTTAGTAGTATTGTACTAAAAAAAAGTCTAATTTTTGTTTTATTTTTGCAGATGAAATTAAGGGATCAGTAGATGATGAAGTTGTGAATACATACAAAGAACACCTGCAAGCAGGTACTGCTCTAATATTGAAAAATGTAAGTGATACTGAGTCTATATAAGTGTTTATAGCTAGGAATTAATTTGCAAATTTCGACTGGCTTTTAATGGAACTGATGACTTGAATGTTCTGATATTATTTCTTGTTTTTTTTTAAGTCCAAAGGGGCAATTTGCCCAGCAGGACTATTAATTTCATTTTGGCATTTTGTGTTGATTCACTACAAGTGTTGTTTCACTTTTCAAATTTTTGCCACGAAATATTATCGCCCTGTGTTATATTTAAAGAAATTAAATAAGAAGACTCAAAATGATGAGGTCTCCGGCATGGTGAGGAAATTCCTCGAGCGAGCAACTTTGGAATACATAATCCTCCTGCAAGAGGGCATCTGGAACCCAATTTGAAATTTGGAATGTGTTTTATTATCAGTGGCAGATTTTGTAAAACTGGAATTGTGATTACACCCGCAAGATTGCAGCGAGCAAGAGCAAAGGTGTACAGAAAACCTTTTGGCTCCAGCAGCGCACTGTGTATCAGCATGTTGAACAATGCTCAATTTAAAATTTTTGTGATATTGACGTGACGGAATTCATGGGGAAGAACATGAATGGGATAAAGAAGGTACACACACAATGGACAAAAGGCCCTGGAGACAAAATTTAAAATCGGAACATTTCACCTTTTTTTTTTTGTCAGATTGATTATTGTTAGTTTAGAGGGTTGCGAGGTAAGGTACTCTATAAAGGTCAAGGATTGAAAGACTTGGGGGTACTATAAGCAGGGTTTTAATGTAGCCTTCAGACGAGGTAAGAGAAAAAGAAGGCCGGGCAACTGTGGGCAAGTGTGTGATGAAAGTCAAAATAGAAGGAACTTAAGATAACGTACCTTTATTTTTCCACATAGGTACAAGTACTTGAGCATTGTCAATCGTGGATAGCTTCAAAAAGCCCGCCAGAAAAAGCAAGGCTTTGCATATGGAAAAGCTTGACTCTTGTTTCACTTCAGTATGCTTCCAACCCTTCCTCTTGCAATTTCGACAGGTGTCACGTAGCGCGTACAGTGAGGTTCTACCCCAAAAGCCAGCAACAAACCTCCTTGGGCGTCCTCAAAAACTGTTGAGGACCTTTACAGCCAGAGGTTTGTCTTGACCTTCTTTCGGACAGGGAGGATGGGTGTCCACTGCATAGATGCGGCTTTTGATCACGTGAGTTGACCCACGTTCAGCCCCCACACAGCCGAAAGAAAGTCATTGCCGCTTCAGGGTACGCACGGATGTTCCAGGCGACCCCCATTGTTCCTGGTTGCAAGGCATTGTCGGGGCACCCATCGTTCACGCTTCTTCCATTGCAAGCCCTGATTTTTGCCGGGAGGCGTTGGGAAGCTAGCAAGCGAACAAGTCCTCAGTACTTTTAGACCGAGGTGGAAAAATAAGGTATTTCTCTTAATTCTCTGCTCACGGGCGAGCAATGAAGTGAGCCAATGCGAAGAACGGACACCAGAACTTATTAAAGGAGTCTCCATGAACATTGAACATTATCCCATTGACAAATGCCGCGTGATCCCCGCGCATAAAACCCTGGGCTGTCGATTCAAAAAGTCTGTACCGCCTCCTTCAACGGCGTCATCCACACAATCTGGTTACCTTGAGATGTTTTTTCAGTTTCCCCAAAATGTTAAAGTCGCATGGCGACACAAATCTGGGCTGTAGGAGGATGTTGCAGCTTGTCCCACTTGAACTTTGCCAGTTGTGTCTTACCACATCAGCGACGTGGGGACGAGCTTGTCGTGTAGCAAGATCACAACCATGCGTCAATTCTCCAGGTCAGTGTTGCACAATATTGCGAACTATTGATAGTCTCTCCACGTTTTTAGCAATTCAATCAGTAATGGCCACTGACGATCGAAAAAAAAAGTCAATAGCACCTTTCCCGAGGAAATGACAGCCTTTGCTTTCTTCGGGGTGGGAATTCAATGTTTCCACTGTAAGCTTTGCCGGCGTGTTTCAGGTTCGTAGTGGTGGCACCATGATTCGTTTCCGGTCACAATTGCAGACAAGAAGTCGTCACCCTCATTGTGATACCGGATGAGATAAGTCAAAGCAGCGCCGAACCTCTCCGTCTTCTGGCGGTCGTTCAAAATCTTGGGCATCCATTGAGCACACAAAAGCCGATAACCGAGATGATCATGAATTATGGTGTGAACCGAACCGTGACTGATGTTCACACGCTCTGCCAGTTCATTGATGCGTATCCTCCATTCTTGTCTAATCAGCTCATCAACCTGTGCAATTGTGTCAGGGTGATTGCAAGGTGGCTTTTGGCCCGGTCTTGGATCGTCTTTGCAACTTTCACGTCCTTCTCTAACTGTTTGCTCCAACGCTTCACAGTGGCCAATTCGATGCAATGTTCACCGTACACACAGCAGTCATACGGCGACTAATTTCATGTTGGGAAACACCTTCAGCTGTCAAAAAACTGACCACACCACGCTGTTCCTCTTTTGGAGTGTCCATTATGTCACGCTACCGTCTTCAACCCAGTGTAAGAGCGCCTTAAAGAACTTTAACCTCACACTTTTGCGCCACTTTCGTAAATGAAGGCTGTCTCTGTGCTACGCGCATGCGCCGCAGATGATGGACCGAACCATTCTTGCTGAGGAGGGGTTGGCTCACTTTCATTTGACTCGCCCTTATATTTTTTGACTTTCATACACAACTCTGACCATAGTCGACAGGGGAAAATTATTTTTCAACTTACCCTCGTATATTAATTGATCGGAAGTTTGCCTTTCTCAGTTTGAAATTATTATATATACCAACAATATACGTGTTTTACACATAGGGGCAAAAAAGATTATTTTCATACAAAATATAAGTATTACAAGAATTCACAAATGTACAGAAAAGAAATAAAAATTAATGCTGGAAATGAAATAAAATGCACATATAAAATATTCTTTTTAAATTTTTATTATTTTAAATAATATGAAATCCTTTTTAATAATCATAATATTCTAAAAGAACTCAAAAGAAATTCATAAAGAACTCAAAACAAATTGTGTTGTGTCATTGCTAGTGATGACAAATTTTAAATAAAAACTGTCAAAGAGAAAAAGGAAATTGAATGTTATTCATTCTCTTATATATCATTTATATTCCTGGAATTTGTTTTAATGTCCCAATATAGTTCTTATATGACTGCTCTGTGATTTTTCTTTAATGGCATATGACAAAGAATGTTATTCTAGCTAAAAATGTTAGCTTTACTTTTTAGTGCATTTAACTAAAATATATGATTTAAAGCCCTTTTTGTATAATTCATTTTGTACTTTATAACCTAATGAATGGGGAGAAGCAAAGAACGTAAAATCATTGCCTCTGAAAATAGGAAAATTATTCCATATAGTCAGTGTAGTAACAATATATGCATGACATCTTTTTTTCTAAGGTCTTTTCATCTATCAAAAGGTTTTACATTAAATTCATTTAAATTTAAATGATTGTGAACATTGCATGATTTCTAAAATGATAGTGCACATTATTTTTTGACGTTCCGGTGCATCAAAAAACTAAACTATGGGTACTAATTCAGAAGTCAAACAACAAAAATCAGCGTTATATTTTCAAAATTTTCACAGGACTAGTTTCTATGGTGATGAACCACCATCCTCGGCTGCAAAACCGCAAATGAACAAGATAGGAAATAATGATTAGATAAGATAAGAAAGCCTGGACAAGAATAACCAAGTGGTGCCATCTGTTGGTGAAATCAGAACTAAAACATAATTTCTTTAAACGCCGAAGGCAAAGATGGATTGGAATTAGGATCGTTAACTAGAACAGAAAGTTTTTTTTTTTTTTTTTTTTTTTTTTTTTTTTTTTTTTTTTTTGGAATGTGAAATGCCTTTAGAAAATCCAGTTCTCCAATGGAAGATGTTTTTTGAATAATTTTGGCAGCAGAAAAATTGAAAGTGTGATTTTCGGACCAACAATGTTGAGCAACAGAAGACTTCTGTGTTTCCTTTTTTCTAACATGCCTCATGTTGCTTGATGTGAAATTTTAAGGCTCTCCTAGTTTGGCCAATGTAAATCAAACCACACTGGCAAGGAATCCTATAAATACCCCGAGAATTCATATCCGGAATGGGGTCCTTGAGTATGGAACTCGTAATTTTATTGATGGGAGAATAAACAACCCGAAAGTTAAATTTCTGCAAAGTATGAGTAACTTTATATCTAATCGATGGAAAGAAGAGAATGACAACAGAATTTTTATAATCTCCTAAAACAAGAGTGTGCCTTTTAGTGTGTTGAGATGAGAATTTTTTAACTGCTTGATTAATAATGTTGGGTGAAAAGCCTTTGTCAATACCTATTGCTTTTAAATAATTTAGTTCTTTATCAAGGGCTAGTTTGGAGGAGCAAACTTGAAGAGCATGGAAAAAGTTTGCTCCTCGAAACTAGCCCTTGATGAAGAACTAAAGCTATTGACAGGGGCTTTTTGCCCAACATTATTAACGAAGCAGTTAAAAAATTCTCATCTCAACACACTAAAAGGCACACTCTTGTTTTAGGAGATTATAAAAATTCTGTTGTCATTCTCTTCTTTCCATCGATTAGATATAAAGTTGCACATATTTTGCAGAAATTTAACTTTTGGGTTCTTTATTCTCCCATCAATAAAATTCCGAGTTCCATACTCAAGGACCCCATTCTGGATATGAATTCTCGGGATATTTATAGGATTCCTTGCCAGTGTGGTTTGATTTACAATGGCCAAACTAGGAGAGCCTTAAAATTTCGTGTCAAGGAACATGAGGCATATGTTAGAAAAAAGGAAACACTGAAGCCTTCTGTTGCTCAACATTGTTGGTCCGAAAATCACACTTTCAATTTTTCTGCTGCCAAAATTATTCAAAAAAACATCTTCCATTGGAGAACTGGATTTTCTAGAGGCATTTCACATTCAAAAAAATCTTTCTGTTCCAGTTAATGATCCTAATTCCAATCCAACTTTGCCTTCGGCCTTTAAAGAGATTATGTTTTAGTTTTGGTTTTATGAACAGATAGTGACACTTGCTTATTCTTGTCCATTCTTTCTTATCTTATCTAATCATTGTTTCGTATCTTGTTCATTTGCGGTTTTGCAGCTGAGGATGGTGGTTCAGTCAAACCATCGAAACTAGTCCTGTGAAAATTTTGAAAATATAACGCTGATTTTTGTTGTTTGACTTCTGAATTAGTATTTATTCGGCGTGTTATTGTGATTTTATTAAGCTATGGGTCTTTGAAAATGACCTCAAACCAACAATGGTGAAATGTCAATGAGCAGTGAAAAAAATAATGTATGCTATTTTCTTCAGAAGTGCAGTATTGGTCAAAGCCATCAATTTGGAGAAACAGAAGACAGTTAAAGCTAACTGGTTAACCAAAGTGTTTTTCCAAAATTCTTCAGGAAAGAAATATTAGCGGACTCATGCTTAACCATGATAGTGCATCGTGCCATTCAGCAAGATTCACATTCGAATTTCTTGAACAGAAACACATCATAGTGAAAGGAGATCCACCATATTCTCCTGGTCTTGCTATGACTTTTCACTATTTTTTTAATCTAAAATAAAATTTACTTGATTGTCGTTTTTATTCCAAAGATGAGATTGATGAGATTATAAAAGCATATTTTCCATCAATTCCAATAAACGAATGGCTTGAAACATTTAATCTTTGAAAAATTCACCTCATAGAAGTGCATTGATGTTGGAGAAACTACTTTGGACACTGAAAATTTGGTAAGTTTAACTTCTGTCATCAAGCTGTGTATCAAAATTTTCAGTGGAAAGAAAGTTAAGCAGTAGCATGCTAACAGAGCAGCAAGCAGGGAAAGACTGTATAGTTTCCAAATAATAATTTGGCAAAATTATGGGCTTACTTTTTCATATTGGTTAATTTTAGATTTCCATTTGTAAATGTGAATATTCTGATCAGCTGAAATGTTATGTAAGAATCATGAGAAAGATTAATTTTAAAATGGCACAGTTTAGAGTGATTTATTACGAGCAGTTACTATTTTAAAGATGGACAGGAGAAATAATCAAATTAAAAAGTAAAGTTAGGCATTACTGCAAAATAAAATTACTATTTTATCATAGTTATTTTTATCTTGCATGATACATTCAATTTTTTATATTGTTTCATAATGTAATTATTTATTTTTTTAGGTCACATTCTTATTTAATGTCTTAATATTAAAGAAATCCAACATTGTTTCAATTTACCTTCCTAATGGCAAATCTAACCATATAGAAGACTGGTGTTCTGTCATCTTAGAGAGCTCAGAAAATCGGGAATATTTGAGGATATCAAATGAAATAAGCTCAGATCATAGACCAGTTCTCACTGATAATTTACAAACTCTCATGCCTTCTGTAATTCCTAAAGAGCAGTATGGTTATAATGACAAAATTAGCAGTTCCTTTTCTACATCTCAAAAGCTGAAAATACAAATAGCAGAATCAAAAGAGACTTTTCAAGTTTCTTCAAATCCAAGAAGTACAAAAGCAGTAGCAGCCAAAAACATACTCAAAGATACATCATTGAACTGCGATGAAATGGGTATGTAATTATCTAATGATTTCTTAATAATTTATCTCTTAGAAATTGTTTCATGCTTCTCTTAAGCATGGCTATTTAGGTCTTGCTGATTATAATCTTTGTAACCCATTTATTTCTTATATAAATAAGGCCTACTAGTAATCTAGCAGTAAACCTACTGAACACTGGTAGTTCAGTCTGGGTTAAAATCTTAGCAAACAGGTTGATTGCACTAAGGCTTTTAGGGTTTTCCTATGTGTAATGTGAATATAACCCAGTTTCCCTTAAAAAATCCTCTATGAAGGCATCCTGTCTTTTGGCAGATAGTCCTCAGGCATGATCTAAATAATTCAGTTTTGGTGCATATTAACCTTGCAATCCTTCCAATGAGAAAATTATTTGGTTAGTTGAGAGCTCTCTTATAGGGACTCCTTAATGGAGGATTTTTTCTGAAAAAGTGGTTTATACTTAAAAGAAAACGATGGAAACCCAATGCAACTAATTTTTTTAGCATCAGAAACAAAGCCCAGAATGATTTTTCCCAGTATTCTGTGGTTTTAGCCACTTAACCATTGGGGGCTTAGGGTTGTAGAAAAAACATAATAAGGAGTTTCTTCAAAAAATGGAAAGTTAGTGAATCTGAAATTTACTGGATAAAAAGAGCTAAATATAATTTTTAAGGTGAATATAATGAAATATTCTTCCAACACAGTTAAAATTCAATGCAAATCTCCAAATATCACTCTTCCCTTACATTTAGCTGTTGAAAACAGATTTAGATAGTTTTATAACTATCCCAGAAATTAATATTTTAAAAAAGTCTGCATTGCACTTTTTAGGGAAATAAATCTTTCATCTGAATGAAAAATATTTAATAAATGTCTTATTTATTTACTTTATATGCAGGAATTATGTTACAAACTATCTTTTTTAAGCAGAGAATTTTATAAGAATATTTCATCACTGGAAATAGAAAGCTTCTATAAATATAAAATCTGAATTTCTACTATATCTCCTAAAAGTAATAAAATGGTTTTAATATGCATATAAAGTGTTTGGTGCCTCTGTGTGTAAAATTTGCAGAAATATTAGTGATTAATCAATTTATTCAGGATTGCTAGAGAGTTAATAATGAAATTCAGAATGTTAATATTTAATCTGTAAAGCCAACAATTTTTGTTTTATAGTTTCACCCTGAATTTGGAGAAATCTAAAGCTGCTTAGGCATTGAAAAGTGATCTAAGTCGGGAAATTCATTCTCTAATTAATACCTTTGGAAATTCTGTGCACAAAAATATGGAACATTTTGGGTGTAATTTAAAGTATAATTACCGTTTTCCTGATTGGTTTTATTAATTTGTGAGAAATTTTAAGAAAAGGAGAAAAAATCATTTAGCTTTTTTTATTTCCAATATCACTAGCTGCTGAGTAACTAATATTGCAGAATACTGACAGTTTATCGCAGGTTAGATTTTTAGAAGCCAATAGCTTGTTGCAAATATAATGTGATATTTTGAATGTTTAATACCAGTCAGTTTCTCTTGGAAAGCCATTAAATGTGTTTTATCATAATTAAGTAACCAATATTTAATCAAAACCTAAAACAGGATTATATATATATATATATACATACATATTTGGCTAGTCTCATGGAAAGCAGGAATTTTCACCCTAAGTATTGTTTCTTAATTATTAAATTATTTCTTTATATTTGCATTTATGAGTCTACCATTGAAAACTGGTAATTTCAAATAAATGATTAATTTTATGAATTTTTTATATTATTCAAAGTTTTAGTTAAAGATTATTAAATTTGTTGTTTGAGGATGAGTTAAAGGTGTTTTCTTGTAAATATTAGCTTTTCTTTAGAGCCTTAAAAGTGAAACAAGATTAAATCTGCTTTTTAAGAGAACTATAGTTCTAATGAATTTCATTTCTGTAACTGGTGCCAACAGGTTTATTAGGAACACTAATGAACTGATGGTAATAAATATGTCATGTTGATATTTCAAGTGCAGTAAGACCCCGCTTAACGCTGTTCGTTTAGCGCTGTTTCGGTTTAGCGCTCTTTTATTTCAACCCGGGGATTCTCCGAAATTGTGCGCAGCGCTGGGTTTCCAAATAACATATCCGAAACAGTGTAGTTGTGTTTCTTGCTTGGTGGACGCATTTTTATCATTTGAAACATTTGTTGACATTATTGTAAGTTTAAATTTGTATAATACTATAACGATTAATACAGTGACAAATATTATGATCTTTAGTTTTTATCATGGGTGATAATAAAAAACAAGAAAAGAAAGCAACCAGAAAAAGCATTTCACTGGAAACTAAAATACAAGTGATTAGAAGATTAGATTCTGGTGAACGTCAATCTCAAATTAGTGCTGCATTGATTTTGGCAACTTCAACAATAAGGACAATTCTTAAAAATACAGAAAAAATACTGTCATCAGCAACTGCAACTACGTCAAGCTCTGCAACTAGAATTACCCGTTCTAGAAATAACATTATAGAGGAAATGGAAAAACGACTGTCTATATGGATTGACGACGAAATTGAACGCAATATGCCATTAAGCCAATCTATCATAATGCCTTCTTACCAAAAAGGCATAAAATTGGAAACCCAGAATAGACTGAATGATCTGACTGAGAATTTTATTTGTTTTTAAAAGTATATGCTTTTATATTGTTTTTATTTTTGTAAGAAATAAATGTTTGATTTTATTTTTATTAAAAAAAAACATTATTAAATTTAATGCCTAACCATTTTTATCCGTCTTCCCCTAACCCCATTATTTACATGTTAAGATAGCCTCGCTTAGTGCTGTTTCGCATTACGCTCTACTTCGATGGAACGTATCCCCCGCGTTAAGCGGGGTCTTACTGTACTTAACTATCTGTTTTCATCTGTAGAGTTTTTTAATGCACTGACTACCAACTAAGTGGTTACTCAGTTTGCATTTTATCCATGGCACTGACTTTGGGATAATTTTCAGTTCTTTTGCTTGTCATTTTCATGCAGTGACATTTATATTTCTAAAATATAAGTGTATTTAAGGAAATGTGGCTTCTGAGAAAAGACAAAAATCAAGACTGGCTTATATAAACTAAAAATTTCTTAATAAATGAGCAGGAAATATAAATGTAAAACATTTTAGTGATTTCAATAGTATTATTTATTCAGTATGAAAATCAACAAACAAAAATCTATTTTTTCAGTATTTTTTTAAAACAATCTTCCAAACCAGTGGTTCCGAAACTTTTTTGACCCATGGACTCATTTTTATACTCAAAACTTGCCCACAGATCCCCAAGTGAAAAAGCTACATAAATGCATGGTATAAAAATTACAAATTAAAAAAAAAAATTGTTTTGAAGAAGTATTTATTAAAATTATAACTTTTGTTTAAAATAAAATTTAAAAAATTAATGATTTGGGTGAACTTGATGAGGTGTTATGAGTGTATTTATGTCCGGCTCAATGTTTGTGAGTAGCAGCCACAAATCCCCACGAGTAGTAATTTCTGGTCAGTTTTGTTGTTTTGTGATGAGGTTCAAACGGCACTGAATCCACATTCTATGTAATAGGAAGAGGGGAAAGTAGTCAACAACTTCTGTACAATAACCTGTAAGTGCAGGATATAAAATCAGGATCTGTTTTTGTAACTGGAATTTGTGGTATCCTTGTTCAAACATTGGTTTAAGTTCCTCATTTGTGGATATTTCAATAAGCTACTCCTGCCTTAGTATAGATTCATCTGTGTATGGGATTCACGCGTAAAAGGGTTCAACACCCATTCGGGGATTATTCAAGTGAAGAATGTCTTCAAGTCTTTGGTTCAAGTCTGCATGAAGAGCTGTTAAGGTGTTGGCTGTAAGCAAGCAAATCTTCATCTCAATTTTGCAATTTCAAAAGATTTGGAAACTGAGAACATTCTCCTCTTCCCAAGTTTTCTTTATACAAAAAAAGTTTTGCAACAAATGCAGATATTATGCTTTTAGTTTTGATTAAATATAATTGGTCACCTTTTAGTTTCAAATTAGTTTTGTTGAATTTGGCAAATAAATCAGTCATATAGGCTATGTCATTTTTTGAGGTAATTAAATTGTGTCGCAAACCATTGTCTTTCCTTTCCAGGAATTCCAACACTGAATCAAAGAGCACATAACATCGATTTAAACATGCACTTTTAGATAACTAATGTACTTCTGTGTGAAGTAATGGCTGCAAAAAATGGATAAAGACATGAAGAATGTGAGAGAGAGTTTAGTGAAAACGAAAAAATTTCGATTGACAAGTTAGTCGGTATTCTCGGCACAGCAATTAACGGGACTTGAACAGCGGAACTTTGTAACTGAACAAGAAATTATGTCTGTTTATAGAATTAAAGAGAAAGTATTATCACATAAAATGAAGCAACTTAAACAACTCACATTGAAAGAAATGTTTAATAAAGGTAAACAAATAAATATTAAGCTTTTTTTTTTTTTTTTTTTTTTTTTTTTTTTTTTTGTAAATTTTGATACCCTTTAGATCATAATTGTTCTTTATTTCATAAATTAAGGTTTCATATTTTTAATTTTAGAATTTCTGCATGCCATCTTACAAGATTTAAACTGATGATCTGTACTCCGGAAAAATCGATAATCCGGAATCGCCGAAGTCCCGACGAGTCCGGATTAACGACTTTTGACTGTAATGCATATAGTGGCATTATTGTGTTCCTGTATAAACCTGTTTTCGGTTGTCTGTCTCGCACTGTGCCAAGCTTGTTATTAACTTAAGTAGCTGGCACCATCTAGAACTATTAAATCATAGGTGCATATTAGTGGACTTTTTTTTTTTTTTTTGGTTTTGAGGGATTATCTCAGCATTTTTATTGTTATTTCATTATTATTTTGTTGTTATATTGTCGTTAGCATGTTGATGGAAGTTGAAAGCTTATATTTATTAAATTGAACAGTAACTAAGTTTTAGTAATAACATTAAAACAAGTTATACTCACTACTGTTACT